TGTACTGGCATCTTCTTTCTTTGTTGACCTTGACAATTAATGTTTACACGTTTTACTTCTAGTACCCATTTTGGTTGAATTAAAAAAAAAAAAAAGGTGTTATTTTGAGCTCGAAAATGGTGTCTTGTTGCTTAAAAAGTTAAAAGTGTTTGTTGTGGTACTGAGGTGTAGTATAGTACTCCACGTGGTGCATTATAATGGAATTCTTCAGACGTATTACGGCATTTAATTTGTAAGTAGTTGTCATGTTGACAAATTTCCTGCTTTGAATGTTGGCGCAAAGGTGCAATTCAGATTAAGTCATCAGGCTTATCAGGTTTATGGTATGGAGAACAAAATGACAACGTAAATTTATTTCTCAATTATAAACATTTTCTGATTACTCGCATGCAATAATAAACTTTAATTTTTGCTGATACTAAAAAGAAGGTTCGGTGGTTCTAAGTACATTTAATTTGGTCTACCATCTCACTGGATCATTTTTCAACGACTCTATATCCCACTACTTATAAAAATCTGAAACATATAGATTTTCAAAAAACCTATCAACAGAGCTTCATATATACTATTCCAAGCGAATAGTTTGCCATATCTCATTAACAAAATTAAAACCAATGGCGGAGGTTGTGGCAAAAAAGGCAAACAATGGAGCATGTAAATGACAAAAGCGCAATGACTAAAAACTTGTCCCAAGAGAAAAAGGAAAAATGTACACGTTTTACTTCTAGTACCCATTTTGATTGAATTAATTAAAAAAAAAAGAAAAAGGATGTCCAGAAAATTAGCAAAAGATGAGAAATGGAAAATGGAGAAGGGGAGAAGTCCATATATATAATATAATTCTTGCCTTTTGACATCTTCAACTCTAACTCTAAAGTAGAGCAAAAGTGGAAAGGTGGGTGGCTAGAAGTAATTATATATTACTACTGATCATTGGCAAACAGAAAAATAAAAGTGCACGAATCCAAATCTTTGGAACATTGAGGTACACGTCATCTTAGTGGCCTAATTTAAGAGAGGCCGGTTTGCCATAATGTGGTATATACATATGGAAGATCTGAACCATCCACTCCAAAAAAATTAAAGCACAAAGCCAACTTCTATTTTTCTATGGAGACAAATCTGAAGTGCATTTTTCTCTCTCTTTCTTCTCAGATCAGCAGAATATGAATCTTCTGGATGCCATCAAAAGGATCTTTTGTGAAACTGAACATTATTTGGACGTCCGGATGGCTGGTGCCAGCACTGCCGTGTTGCCTCCAAGTCCTTGGATACAATCAAAATAGTTTAATTAGAAAATGTAAAAAATCATGAAGAATCTGGAATAATAAAACCAACATCTCACGTGCACTTAATCAAGTTAAAATTCAAATTAAGCACCTTATGGT